GAGACCAGGCCTTAGTGCCTCTTTTAGAGTACAACCAACTTTTGGCCGCACACCCAGAAGTGTAGCTGGTGCTCTTGCTTTTTCACGGTTTCTTTTGCCTGGAAGATGTTTACCTTAAACTAAACTTTACAGAAGCAATAACTTAAAGGGACAGTTTCAGTAAATAACCCCCAAATTCCTTGTTGAAGCTAATTAATACTCCAATTGTATGGAGGTTAGTCTGACTTTGCATCCACAGTTGGAATCGCAAGGTTATACATGCCAAAGATAAAACATAACATAGGCTCTTTTAATTTCTCACTTGTATTTCACAGAATCATAGACATGTAGGGCTGGAAGGGGCCTCAAAGGGTCATCCAGTCCAGGCCCCTGCGCTGAGGAAGGACCAAATAAACCTCCTAGAACATCCATGACAGGTGTTTGTCCAACCTGTTCTTATAAGCCAGCGATGATGGGGTTCCACAACCTCTCATGGAAGATTATTTCACAGCTAAACTCCCCTTCTAGCTAGAAAGCTTTTCTTAACAGAATTGGACCCAGGATGGACCCCTGCGGAATCCCACTAGATACACCCTCCCAGTTTGATAGCAAACCATTGACATTTACTCTGAGTAATTTTTACTCTTTGAATAATTTTTTCATCCACCTTATCGTAATTTCATCCAAACCACCTTTCCCTGGTTTACTCGTGATAATGTTATCTGGGACTGTGTCAGAAGCCCAACTAAAATTGAGATCGGTCATGTCTAGTGCTTCCCCTTTATCCACTAGGCCAGTGACCTTCAGCCTGCTAAGTGCCACGACAACAGTCAGCATTAAAAACTTTTTTAACCTTTTACAAAAGGAACAGAAAAAAAGAAAAGAAAAAACAGTTAAGCCATTTGAAATATAAAGTATGAAGCAAGGCTTTCATTTCAACTATACCCCGTATTCCATTTTCCTTTAGCTGTAGAATGTTTTTAGAAAAGGGGGGGAGGAGGAAACTGTTAGAAGTCTTTTGGATGGTGTTATGGATGGTAACAACATTCTTTTTTGAGGGGGAAAGGAGAAGAAGTTAGATGAAATGGGCTGGATCTGTTGTTTCTATTGTTAAAGTCTGATCTTGTTTCCTTGAAGACAGAACAAGTCAAACGCACAGAAGAGGGAAGAGGAAAGAACAGCAAAGATAGAAAATGCAGTTCTGCCTCGCATGCTGACTCTTACTTGTAACCCAGCTCTTGGAGAAACAGAAAATGGAAAAGGTACTTGGTTGTATTGCAAGGTTTACAAATTCCTCATCCCAAAATTGGGATTGTCAAATCTTATTTGATTAGATGACATATGAACTTTTCTCATGTTAATAAAGATAAGAACTTACAACTCACTTTATTTACCCCTAAAACAATCTTAACAGTGCTGCTGTTCTCGGTCTTAAAAAGTTTAGAAACACACTAGCTCTTATCATATTTTGACTGAATGCCCAGAGTGGGTAAAGATCGAAAAAAATCTCCCAATCCCATCCCCCACCTCTTCCATATTTAAAGCTGCACGTCATGAACCGTGAAAATGTCATGCACAAGTGGTTACATTTCCTGACTTGCAAAAATTTGAGCCTGTTAGCCAAATGGGCTCGTTTCCCCCTGGAGCTGCCCAATTACCCCAAGGAGGCACGGGAGTCTAGAAGACGGCTTCAAGTTCTTTATTGTTCAGTCAGCTGAGCGGGTGTCCCCCTCGACTCATGCCAGAGGGAGGAACACACCTTACAAGCGTAGAGCAAGCCTTTTTATACCCAGTAACAAATGACTTAACA